GGGGCTTTATGACGGCGCCAGATTCTGAGTGTGGTGCCAGCCTTAAGGGAGATTATGCTGGCATGGCCATAGCCACGTAGATCTCCACATTGATAGGGGAATGGGCGAGGAGGAGGACACTCTGAGCTGTGAGATTGGTGCCTGTGATGAGGGAAAGCTTACCTGGACTTACCGAGACATAGTTTGCGATATGCTGATCGTCTCCAAGTGGATGAAGAAGATCTGCACCATCCTCCCTAATTGCTGCTGACGTGGATGGAGTATGGGCACCCTGTTATGGCCTGCTCATTGTGTATGTCAGAGATTGTCAGAGGAGAACTGCATTGCTGAGGTGGCAAGAGAGGGAGATGCCCGAGGAGGAAGTGGGCTTGGGGAGGGACTATTTCTTCGTTGATTCTTGTGAGACCTCTCCTCCTCCTCCTCCCAGTCTCTTCTCCCCCTTTCCTCACTCTTTTCTCTGAAGATCAAGACATTGGGAGATTACATGTTCGGGCATGGTTTCATAAACGATTAACGATTTTCGGAGACATTATTGATGCGCTGAGTCAGACTTGAAGCGAAGGGGAAAGATCGGTGTAAGGGCGGATCAGGCGAGAAAGAGGACAAGAGAAAGAGCAAAAAAGAAAAGAGAGAGAGAGAGAGGGAGAGAAAGGAGGGGTTAAGAAAGAGTAGGAAAGATGCAAGCCAGTGCAGCGTCAACAACTTGAAGCCCGAGCGATTGGGGATTATGATATCATCTCGAAAGCATCAATAAGCTCCTCCCAGGGCACATAATGCCGAGGACGCGAGAAGCACCTGCTGGAAACGGGGTCCAGCGTCCCATTAATTAAGCAGGAGTAAAAGCTCACCGTCAATTACAAAAGCCACCGAACTTGATGGACAAGACGGTACAGAGCAGTGATGGAGACTGATGAAGAAACTCTTGAAGATCAGCAAGTGACTGCATCATAGCCTGCATGTCCTAACAAAGGAGCCATTCTTAGGAGAGTTGAACTATAGAAAAACATTTCGTTGTAATCGTAAACGATTCCCAGCAAAATCTTTTTCAGAATCTGAACTAGGAAAAATCCGAAAAAAGGAAACTCAATCTAGGTGTAGAAAAGGGAGTGGAGTCAGTGGACTCGTTGCTGAAAACCACCAAAGTACAAACCCGTTTTCGAGCATGATGGGCTCCCCCCGGCTACCCCTTGCTGCCGCTGGGTAACACACGCAGTGCTTTCCCCTTAGATTGCCCGCCTACCATTGGGAGTACATTCATTGCTAAAAAACAGGAAAGTACAACACGCTTCTCGCGGATGATGGATGCATCACCCCCTGGGGCCTGGGGCTACCCCGAACTGCCACGGGCAATGCACTGCAGACTTCCCACCAGGGGAGAAGCCCAATGGGTTGGCCAGGGGCCAGGGGGGGCAACGTGGGCATGATGGGCTGACTCGCTCACCCCCTGACATTGGGTTTACCCTAGGCTTTGCCCGCTGCACTTTGCCACTTACTGCCGGTGTCTCTGCACGTTGTCCCCTTCTCCAGAAGGAGCCGTCCTTGCCTTCGGCTTCCCACCTGCACCCTCCGGTCCCTCCCTGTGGTCGACAAAAGAACTTGTACGACAAGGTGAAGGAATACAGACCTGTCACGCAGGTAGATGGAATTAAATGGCCTCCATCAGCCAGTAGAGCTGTACCCTGCCTTGTGGCTGACTAGTACACAAATGCAGCTTGTGAAAAAACAGGTTCGCGTTGAAAAATCATGTTCAGCATCCTGTTACTTGGATACAGGGGAGCTGCAAGGTGACGTCGGTTCTCAGCCACTGGGCCCCCAACCACATTGGGCGAACGTGCGCGGACAGGTTGCCGTCATCAACTTGCCCATGATACTGGACTCACTGAAGGAGTCGTTGTGAGGAAAGCTGTGTCCCCAGTAGTGCAACATGATTGCCTTCTCTTGGAGCTCCCTACATAGCTTACAAGCCTGCCGCCAAGGAGTCTTTAGCAGCTTAGCTTCACTACACCAGAGCGGATAGACTGATTCCCTTTTCATGACGGTCAGATCGTAGCAGAAATCCGGAGGGACATAAGCAGCAGACAAGCGGGTCGCGTTCAAATCCCGTACTTGCGCGCGAATCAGGGCCTTCGCCTCGTCTCTCGGCAATTTCCGAGACACCAGCCACTCCTCCAGCTCGTCGATGTCCAGACAATTTCGCATAAAGACGCGAGTGAGAAGCTTCGGACCTTGATGGCCCCACAGGTTTCCGCTGAAATCCGCTACGAAATCTTTCATCGCTTCTCGCACGAACTGATGGCCGGCCGAGAACCTTATGAAAGCGTTGTTGATCGACTTGTCGTCCTCCGCCGCCACTGCGCTGCCTAACCCCGCCGGCATGGGATTCAGGCTGATGAAGTCCATGTCGAGGTATGTCCCCCCGTACTTCCAAACCAACGCCAATCTAGCCGCATTACTCAGATTGTTAGGTATCCAGCGTGTTTTTCGGTAAGTTCCCGAGGCGTACCAGTTTTCGAATGGCGTGCCGCTGAAGATGTCGGCAAAGTCCGCCGTTTTAAGCACAATGCGAGGGTCTTTGCGCTCTGACCACTTCGTACGGAAATAGGTCAGGTTGCTGGAGTAAATGTACACCGTGTAGTTCGGATTCTTTGCGAGGAAGCTCTCGATAGAGCACTGCGTGTGGGCGCAGCCACGGATATTTTGGTACATGTTGAGGAAGAACACGCGGTCGGGGATCTTCGTCTTTCCCGACGAGACCACCACTCGACTCCGCTGAGCCTGCTTATTGGCTCTATCGCGCCCAGTTGCATTTGTATACGCGGTGCCTCCATCATCGTCGTCACGACGATCCCGACGCCCGCTGAGCGTGCTCTCTTGGAAAGACATCGGTCCCGCGGAAGCGTCAGAACGCCGGAGCCGTATGAAGCGCGAGGGCACGGAGGCGAGATCTCCGAAATCCTCTGCGGACAGAATCCGATTGCCAGCGAAGTCGATTGCTGCGCAATCGACGTCCTCAGCATTCGTGTGTTCCTCCCCGACCCCGTGGGTGGTGTTGGGGACCACCACCACCCTCTCTCTCAGCATATCGCGGCTCCTCGAAGGGGCATTCAGAACTGCAATTACCCCTTCCCCTCGGCCGCCTGCTCTTCCTGCTGCAAGCGCGTCTAAATACATGACTGCATTTAAGGAAAGGATGACCATAGCGGTCAACGGGGCAACCAACGGGCAGACACGAATGGCAGCCACCTTCAGGGTTGGTTTCGGCATACTGCACGATGGGAACAAGGGAGCCTCCTACTTGCGTCCTCCTCCTCTGACTATCGCTGTAATTCTCTATGTCCTAGTCCACTTCACCAAGCGAATAGCACCTGGATCAAGCCGTGGTCCAGGTGCAGGGACTCCGGCGGTGGAGGGTCGTGAAGGAGCGAAAGCACGAGGCGGTTTTTATTTGCGCCGTTTTCTTTCTGCCTATCGGTATGTTCTTTTCATACGTCTTGGTACAGCTTACTGCAGTGGAGTCAGTGGACAGCACCTGGTCCACGCCCTCGTCCAAGATTCCAAGTTTAATATCATAGCAGAGAAGCAAACGTTTAGGCTGATCTAAGCCGACGACAAGAGGAGATCAAGGGATTCAAGGCTGCCCCCTCGAATATATGGGGCCAACCCCTGCCGACAGGAGACAGCCTGTAGCCGTCAGATTATCGACCCAACGAACCAGCTGGTCCAGCTGGGAAAGGTCGACCGGACTCGACCCCCTTCCTATTAACCCGGGAAGAAGCAAAAGAGCCGTATGTTCTCGGATATCTCGTCCACCTGGTGTCTGGAAGTAATCGACAGATTTCGGATCTCAACTAGATCAATGAATTGCAAGAGTCTAGAGACAGATTTCAGATCCCAACTAGGTCAGTGAATTTAATTACAAGAGATCATCACTGAGTACCCTGAAAGCAGGCACAGCGGAACCGCAATCCAATTGTATTGAACTTTCACTGAGCTCCGAGAAAAGTTCAGGCATATGAGCACAGATAACTGTCAAATTGTGTCAATACTGCGAGCACACTAAGACAACGATGAAAGAATCGATACGATATTTAAGCCATGGCTTCACTTCAGACCTTACCGCCAGGCCCGCCACCATGAAGACAAACCATGCTCTCTCTCTCTCTCTCTCTCTCTCTCTCTCTCTCTCTCTCTCTCTCTCTCTCTCTCTCTCTCTCTCTCTCTCT